CCAAATGGGGTACAGATTGCTGTTTTCTCAACGTCATTAGGTTCGACCGGAATCTGGTGATAAGCTCTGACTAAGTCCAATGTCTAAAATATTTCACAACCATGTAACTGATTGTTGAAGTCTTGAATATGTGGCAATGTATATCGATCAGATATAGTGACAGCATTTAAATTTCGATAATCACCGCATGGTCTGTAGCTTCCATTTTTCTTTGGTACCATGTGTAAAGGACAGGCCCAAGCGCTCTTTGATGGCCAACAGATTCCTTGCTCAATCATGTACTCAAATTCTTTTCATGCAATTTTTAATCTATCGGGTGCCAAACGTCTAGGTTTTGAAAAAACTGGGGGACCAGTTGTTATAGTATGATAGGTGACATCATGTTTGATCTCTTTAACTGTCGAATGTTCTACAGTTATATACTTATATAATGAAGCGACGTTAGATCACTCATCATATTCTGCATTGTTTTTATAATTGTTTATGAACTTTAAGTTTGTTGTTACTACAACTTTAATTCTTACTTTTTAGAATTGCATTTTAATGTTGTTCTATTATTATATCTTTGAATTTGTTCAACAGTTGGTAAATTCTAGGATCAGTAGTTTTAGACGACACAGTAGTCAAATTAGTTGACGGAACATGGGCAAGTCGACCAAAGGATTTTAAAGATGTAGTAGGATCTATTAACTTTCTTTTTTTAATATCAACTACAAAACGGTATTCCTTAAGAAAATCAGCACCTATTATTGGTTTAGAAACATCAGGAACAATAAAGGTCCAAAAAAATGTTCTTCGTAAGCCCAGATCAAGGAAAACTCGCTGTGTCCCAAACGTGTGCACTTGCGAAGCGTTAGCAGCATACAAGTAAAATTTTGGAACAGGAATTTTTCTCTGTTTTGAAGAAATGGGTAAAACAGACACATCAGCTCCAGTATCGATAAGAAAACTTCGTTTACTAGAGTGATCATAAATAAAAAGGCGACTTGAATTCTGGCTACCATCGTCTTGCGTCGCCAAGGATGGCCTAATTAGTTTTCCGATTTTTTGAAAGCAGCAACAAATGAACAGGGTTTAGTGCATCTGGTTGACTTTTTACCAAAACGACGATGGTACCAACAAATACCTTCTCTTGAATTTGATCGGTTCATATAATTGGAACTTTGGCGATTAAAACTATTCCAATTTCTAGAGGCACTGCGTGATCTTCGCAGCTCACTAACTACTTTAGAAAGTTCATTAATTTTGCCTAATATTGTTGATAAATTCAGACTTTCTGATGTAGTCGCTTCTGGATTTCTATTGGCAGAAAATTCACCAAGGCACTGGTACCTGCCGCAAGTTTCTAAAATTTTATCACCTATTTCCCCAAGACAAAATTCTTGATGGGACCAACAAGATTTTTTGTTGGTTTATGTTGGTTTCATGTTGGCCCAACTCTACATGATGGTAACCAACATCCAACTATTCCCATCATGTCATAATGGAATTTGATGGGCCAACAAACTTCCATCATTTCATGTTGGAAGATGATATTTGACGATATGATGGTCCACCAACATGTAATGTTGGAAAATTTTGGGCCAACAATTTCCATCACTTCATGATGGAAAATTATGTTTTTCAATCTTTCAAATTTTACATCTGATCATTTTATCAATCTTAAAAATATTGTTTTTGAATATTTAAATTGTCAATAGTTCACAATCAGGCATAAAATTCTTTAGTTTAAAATTTAAAAATAAATGTAAATATAAATAATATCACAAAAAAATGACATATGTTCTTTTTAATCATAACTTGCAATCATGTTTCGCTGTTTAAAATTGCGCACAGTTAAGCCCTCGTTTATTCGTTTAAATCGCTATGCGTTTTCCAATATCATACAACAACAAAAAAACTTTCTCGAATAAACTTTTTAAAATTAGCAAATATAACCTTGCAAATAAAAATTTAGCTGCAGAATTGTCTATGAAGTAATATTTTAATTTTAAATTCAATTTTTTTTATTTAATACATTTTCCCCATCACACAGAATATATACCAAAACTAAGCTTTACACCTTTATGTAGAATTGTAATGGTAACCAATAAATTATATGATGGATTTCTTTCGTTGACCCATTTTAAAAATACATCATACTTATGTTGGTATGCTACATTGTCCCAACAATAAAAGGGGTAAATCCCTAACTTTTGTGCTGATTTAGTGTTCCGTTTGTGTGTATGATGGTTTGTGGTGGAAACAATAATGTTAACAATTAAATTATATTGGATCAGGATAGAATTTTTTTTGTTTGTTTGCCCATTATTAAAAGCCATTACGAAAATCCATCATAATATGTTTGGTTTGCTATGTTGGCACATTATAAAAATCCATCACTATGTGTTGGGTATGCTTTGTTGGCCCAACATAACAGTCGATCATACCATATTGGATATGTTATGTTGGCCCATTATAAAAATCCACCATACTATGATGAGAATGCTATGTTTGCCCATCATAAAAATCCATCTTTCCATGATGGGAATATCTGCACTGGCCCATCATAAAAGTCCATCACGACCTGATGGGAATACTATACTGGCCCATCATAAAAATCCATGATGGGAATGCCAACTTGAAAAGTCGCGAATTCCTATCTTGGGATGTTGGTAAGGTTTAATGGTCCCATCAAGTTGTATGATGGTTTTTGATGGAAATTCAAGTTATTAGCCATCATGTTTATGTTGCTAAATCAATGGAAAATAATCTTGATGTTCTATCTAGAAACACCATTAAGTAGCTTTTTAATAAGTGAAAACAAAACTTAAATAATACTTCTATCATAACCATCATAGTAAGTTGGGTAATCTATGATGGCCCATTATAAAAAAACATACTATGTTGGGTATTCTATGCTGGCCCATTAAAAAAAACCATCATATTATGTTGGATTATATACTATTATTGGAAGTTATATGTTGGCCCTAATTAAAAACCATCATCAGACCTGCCAACATTGTAATCTGCATGAACATTGTAAAGAAAATAAACGCACAGACATAACCACAAAATAAATTTTTATTCTACAGAACAAGAAAGAGTTCATGAGGGAAATCTAGCATTTCAACATTTCAAGTTAATTTTATTTCTGCAAAATTTTATAAATTAACATTTATATATATATTTTTATTCTTAAAACTATTTTGACAGTGAAACAGTCTGATGAAACAGTCTGACAGTCTGATTGCATAAATTAAACTAGACATACTTTTCATAACAATCGCCCAGCAAAGAGAGGTTTTTGAGAATAAAAATAAAAGCTGAAGAAAAAAATATTTATATAAACAAGAACAATTCTTTTGTAAAAATTGTTATTTAAGATTTAGTGGATAAATGAAGCTGTACAAATAATCCATCTTGGCTAAATAATATATTAAGGAAAAGAAAAATAAAGAAATTACACACTACACACAGCGATACATTTTATCGATATTTCAAACTAAAAAGAACGACAACAAAGCAATACTGTGGCCAAAGCACACAGATAAACTNATTTTGACAGTGATGTTATTTCTTTTTATAAATTTAAACAATTTTTTTGTAAAAATTACATAGCTGATTATTTTATAAGAAATAATTATTATCCGTTTAATTGAAACGCCTATATTTTATATGCATTCCACAAAATTTAAATGCTAGTGAATGAGTAATAAAAAGCATAGAGAAACTTGATATTTTTGATGCAATTTAACAATTTTAAACAATTTTTTTAAAAAGGTTTCTTAAATTTATTTTTAAATACTGGAATATATGATTATATCATACCTAGAAATACACGACAGAAGTCATTGATCTGAAATATTTGATCACTTTAAATAGTTATTCGTAACCCTTGTTAGGTTAAATTGATTTATTTCAGAATAAATAATTTATTATTACAATTTGTAAGAATATATTAGACTTTTATACTGGAAAAAATAGTTATATTTCAGTAAGACCAGGGACTAATATAGGGGATAAGGACATTTAACTTTCCCGGGGGGTTTTTAGAAAAGCAACACGCTTTTGACAGACCGGTTTTACGCACAAAAAGTGGCGTTCGCGTCGTGGTAGTGATTATTTTCTGACATCTCCGCCGTACCTTTGCATTGCGCNCATTTTCAAGAACACAAAAATTTGTTTTATCGCCTAATGAAATATATTTTGGTGATCAGCATTATTGCAATCAATTTCTATATCAGTTAACATTTGTGATAAAGTAGATAACATTTTAGAACAAAATAAGGATGCTTTACATACAATAAATTAAAATGCATGGCTGTTAGCATTACCCGAGAAATACCGACGTGGAGGTCGCCATGCTGCATTTCTCATCGGGGAGTTTTGATTTTGGCAGGTCCCCTTGCCTACTGCCAATATGAGTTTCAATTAAATTTTTTCAAAAAACATTTTTTTCTGCAAAGATCTAGGCAATTAACACTAAGCATTTAGAATTTGGCTATACATAAAAACATTTGGTGCTGTGTAAGAGAAATATATATATAGATGATGGGAGGCTATTTTTATATAATTGGAGAAATTAAGTTTTACATTCAAAATTATTGATAACTTTAGTTAAAATTATGTTACGATTAAAATTTACTTCCACACACTTGCCATATATATCAAGCACATTGATTAGATATTTAGAAGTTCAGCCATTACAAATAAATGAAGAACACACATTTTCAGACAGAGGTCTTGAAATAATGTACTCTTCAAAATAAACAAAAACTTCATTGGAGCTTAAATTAGCAGCAATAGCATTTATTTTGCCAAACTTATTACTTGAAGTAAATATTAGTGACTCAGACTTCGAAACACCATAAATTTGATTTCTAAAAATAAACTTGGAAAAAAATAATACGTTAGGCAACAGACTAGCATTACAATATTCACTGTTTAATAGTGTAACAGGTTTTGCGCATGATTTTCCAACCAAAGTAATATCTCCCACATTAATGTCTTTCTGGTGCTTGCAATGCTTCTGTAATCCCTTCACATAACCCAAAGCTTTAGGACTTAAGAGATCAAGTGTCTCCTTGGAATACAATTCAGTATCCAGCAGATACCGTGTAGCTATTTGGCTGGCAATGCCAGTGGGCCCTTGGCTAAACTTCCTCAAAACTGAATTACGTCCTTCATAAACAAACATGGAGCGTATCCATAAAGGGCCTCAGTCCAAGACACTCTGGGTTACATGTAACAGGGAATGAACATTAAATGCCATGAAATGTTCCCCATATAAATCCTGCGCTTCAACCACAAATTTTAAAAAAAACTTGTCCACTTTCTGCAGTTCCTGCATACTTAATGATTTCTTTAGCAGCAAAAATACTCCTCCAATTAAACAACTAATATGTTCAGAATATTTCTTCGGCAAAAGATCTGTCAGTACTGGAAGACAAACATACAGAAGAAAATTACGCCATTCACTGGCTTTATACAATTTTCTTTTAAAAATTAATCTGGGAACGCGTCCCACACACTGAGACATTATTATGGAAGACATCCTTTCATTGACTTCATGTACACTTTTTGGGCTACCTAGGTAATAATCCTTCCCACTGTTTGTAGTATCAAACCACAGACACACAATTTTCTTGGTAACACCAAGAAAAATGCTGTGCATGCTGTCCAAGGAAAATCCTTGAACAACATTGAAGTGCGGAATTGTTACTAATGGAGAAGGACCTTTAATGCCGAACTTGCTTTTCCCTGATTTTATGGCCTCAACAACCAGCTCAGCAGTGTCCAGCTCAGTACGTTCTTTATATAACAGTGTATTCCTGATGCAGTACTTGACTGTGCCATCAACAGTAAAGCCTGGGTGGATGCACCAGGAGCAGCCATAGAAGCCATTATATTGCGTACTGTTCTGTAAGCATGGCCGTGCAACAGAATCTGCACAGCAACAAGCTGGAAGCACTTTGACGTTAATTAACTTTCCTTTTACATGAATATTCAGCCCTTTCGTTGCAAGACGGAAAGCCTGTTCTGTAAATGGTTTTAAAAAAAACATCAAATACTGGTTCTTTCTTCCCAAACCACAAACCTGCGAGCAATACAACATCATTCCGTTGTTCAATCGGTAGCTCATTGATGGTAGCAAACATTGGCCACACCGAGCCTTTTGAATTCGTGTGCATTGCCATGCCGTCGAGGCAAAAATTATATGTCAGAATATGCCCTTCATTTAGAAGTTTCAACTTTTTATATAATCTTCCATCGGTTATGTCTGTGATGAACTCTGAATTTTTAACAACAGGCTCCAAAGCAAGTTTGCTTTGTAGACTATCATTATTTTTGACAATTTGTGAAAATTGATTCTCTAAATCAATACTGATAAAAGAGTTTTTTTGTGAATTAACCACATTCACCTCAGCCTCACAATATTGGCAAAGAACAGTTTTCTCTCTGCCTGAAGCATCATTCACACAGTTGGAGCAATTGCTACAAAAAAAGTGATGCTTAATTGATTTTAAGCACTTGGCTCCAAAAATATTTTTTAAACTATACAGAGATTTGGGAAGTTTGTCGCCAATAATGATATTTATTAATTCCACCAAATCAACTATTCCAACATCAGAGAGCTGATGTCGAAACGCGAAGTTCAATATCATAACAACTAATTCACCTTTTGATATTTTTATATGGGATTCAATATTTTCCAAGAAGCGTAATTTTTTTAAGCAATCAGAATCCTTAACAACAGGTTCAGGATCATTGGCAGCCTAAAACATAAACATATCATGAATACCCTTTACAAAAATAAGTAAGCAATTGTAGGTAAATTGTGTTATATATAATTAAAAAGAAATCAAAAGTCAATGTAAAATGAAAAAAAAAAAGAAAAAAAACATTGCAACATATCAGGGCTAAAGAGTATATAAGGGCTAGTTCATTCTGCTCTTTGAGCTGAAGCTACGATGACGTCATGCTGTACACAGACCTCAGAAATCGCAAGGAAAAATATTATGATTCTCTCAGCAAAAATAACTTTTTCTGGCTTTCAAACTTTAACACAGTATTTCCATTCAAAAAACACAGTTAAAAAAAGTTTCTGGGCCATATTATCAAAATACCCAATCATTTTAAACTAATAAAAATATTTTACTGGATGTCGTAAATGAAACTATAAATATTTTATTTTAAAATTTTCAGTTTTAACCTTATTGTTGAAAAAAAATAAACCATAATATGATATTTCTTTAACTATTTACTGTTCGATAACAATATTTTGTAAAGTTGGATTAAATTTAGAATCATGATTTTAAAATATGCTATTAATGGCAATTTGTTTATACTTTATTATTAGTAAACTACAACTTTAAAAGCTAATTACTGAAACAAAATAATAATTTATTTTCATAATAATATTGGAAAATTTTCAATTGCTTATTGATATTTAAGTTTGAAAGAATATAATTTAAAAAATCATAAATATTTTGAATAACTACATTAAAAACTATGCTAGGAAATTAGATGAATTTTAACAAGGTTATTTATACTTTTCATTTTCAAGTTTTTATTTTCTTTGACTTAATCTATTTTTGAATTTTTTCACCTGCCTTTCTTTTTGAATTAACGGATTGGTTTCTGTTTACATGGCGGCAATCCAAGCAAACGATTTTTCATATCTTCATAACTTCTTTCAAGAAATGCTTACTGCAAATGAGTGCATATTTTACATTAACTGAGTTATTTAGTTTGAAACATTGAATCGATTCTTTACATAGTTGTTCACCCAGAAGCAGAAAGTGTCTAAAACTGTGACGTACGTCGCAGAACAAACCGAAGTCCTGCAGAACAATTTGTATCTTGAATAAGAGACACAAATTTCAGCACATTTATCAGTAATCTCCCTCTTCCGTATTTTTGCTATTCTGAGGAGGAAATTAGTGAATTAGGTTATGGATATAACTTCTTTATAATATGGGTGTATCAGTTTTAAGCATACAGCAGGAGAAATCGATCACCATTTTTATCAAGAGAGCTTCTAAAGCAAGCCGTAAAAGAATTAAATTCAGAGATTTCCAATTTCGTAAAGTTTATGACTTTTATATTTTCCATTCCCATTTCAGAAGCAATTTGTGAATCGTTGGGATCCACGATTAACAGAATTGTTTGTGAAAGACCAAATGCTTTCGATGGAGATGAAGATGTTGTTGGAAAAACAGACCAACGAATGTTTGTGTTTGCAAATGGTGTTTGTGATTGTGATTGCAATCTTATAAAATAAAAGTCATCCCCTGTTTAAATATTACTCATAATGGTATTAAAAAGAATTAAATATATGACATAACTTACCGAATACATTTGTTCTTCAGAGTCAAAATCAGATGGAGTATGAAGAAGTTCATCATAACAGTCACTGTCAATTTCTGATGAGCTACTTGATATTTTATTGTGAACAGCTCCATTATCAGTTCTAAGATTAAAATAATAACAAATTAAGTTCATTCATAGCATCCTTATAACAATACATATAAATATTTAAATAACAGCCCATTTAACTTACCTTGAAACTTCATCATCAGAATGTTCATCAACATGGATGATAGAATCAGCAGCATCTTGTCGATTTTCCAAGGAATTAAAATTTATCACTTGTTGAGGATCCGAATCATTTCGCTTAATATCAGAATAACTTTTGACTACACGTTGAGACAAATGAGTCTTCTTACGCCGAATCAACGTTCGCTTTGGAACTGATTCTTTAGAAGTTTTATCTAAATAACGTTTGTATCCTTCTGGTCTTTTTTTTTCCATTACTGAAATGCGCGGGTTAATCAAATTTAACGGAATAAAACAAATAAAAAACAAAATAATTAACAAAACAGAATATTTAACTTAATAAAACAAAATTAAAACGTAAAAAAAGTTAATAGCAAAGGTGTAGTTCTGAAAAGAACTTTTTTTTCCTGAGATTTAAATGGCAAAATAAAACTGGAAGTAGCAAGCCTAAAAAAAAAAAATGCTTAAATCATTTAGGTCTTGGCAAGGTAATCGGTTTCAAACTTCTACAATGTATACAAGCTTATAACTTGCACACTTTTACGATTTCTTTCATTCACACTTTTTTCTTTTGTTTTTTTTAATTGATGTAATTTTTATTAGCATTTGTTTTTATAGATGCAATGAGTATTGGAAAAAACTTTAATTAATATACCCTCAATAGATTATTCAGGGAAACATTTATTTATAGGTACAATATACATCTACAGGGTTGTGTGCTCAATTAACGAAAGACAATTAACGAACAATTAACGAATAAAGAAAAAATAGCACAATATAGCAGGGCCCGACCGTAACCTCCCGACACGTAAATTTCGGGGATCTGGGCACGAACCCATTCGGGGGCCCCTTTAAAGAGTCGCCAAGTTTCAATTAGCATGAATGGTCTTTAATCACCATATCGAAAGATGATTTTTCAGATAATAAATATGGTAATCAGTCTCAAACCTTATTTAGAAGTACATAGTACAGAAGTTCAAATTTTAATTTAACTAAACTGTAAAAAAAAACACTACATGGGGTTTCGCATTAACTATTTAAATGAGTTATTAGTTGATATGTTCTGGGACGTGGCAAGGGCGGCGTGAACTAAATACTTTTGGGAGGGGTAAAATTCTCATTTTGCAGAATGAGATTACAAATTTGATAGAATCATAATTAAGTGTAGATTTGATTCGTTTCATTGAAAAAAAGAACTTAATTTTTTGCCCATTTCTTTACAATACAATAAAATTTGCTGTATATATATTAATGGGTTACTGATAAATACATTAAGATTAATTTGGTCTGGATACATGACCCTTCATCGATAAAGGAAATGAAGACACAAGAGTTGAAAACAAAAGATCAACCTATTTATTGTTTTACTAAATACTTTTTTTCAGAAAAGAAAAGCGAGAGAGTTTTTGAATATAATGTGATTGATGTCTTATATTTCTCAATTTCTGAGGGAACTGGCTTGTTTTTATTTAGATATGGGGTTAGCAATGATTAAACTCCTTTTCTCACTCAAGCACGGTGATTTAGAATTCAACCAGTCGAAGGAGACATGAAATGTATTTGAATTTTATTAGCAAGACACGAGAGCTGCACAATAAGTTATTGGTTCTGGGAGGATACAGGGGCGGTGCGAACTAAATAATTTTGGGAGGGGTCAAATTCTCATTTTGCAAATGAGATTCCGAATTTGATAGAATCATAATTAAGAGTAAATTTGATTTGTTTCAATCGAAAAAAAGTTTGATTTTTTGCTAATATTTTTACAAAACATTAAGATTGGCAGCAAATATATTAATGGGTGAGTGATAAATAAATTAAGATTCGATCTGCCGTCATGCATGACACTTCATATGATCGATAAAAGAAAAGATGACACAAGAGTTGAAAACAAAAAATATATATTTATTTTTTGTTTTTACGAACATTTTTTTTTTCATAAAAAAAGAAAGGAAGTTTTTGAATATTAATTAATTGGCATCTTATATTTCTCAATTTCTGAGGGACCTGGCTTGTTTTAATTTATAAATGGGTGTTCCATGAAGAGCGATTAGCAGATCAGCTTTATAATTTCAAGGAATATTAAATAGATTTGATGAAGATACATGACTTAAAAAGCAGCTATCTGATACAATATTTATGCAGACTCGTGTTTATTAAAAAGTCCAGTTCAGGTGTGATGCTCAATAATTAAATTTTTTTTCTAAATGAAAAGATAAAAGATACATTACCAAAAGTTACCATTTTTTGTTAATATGCCGAATGGCTAAACAAAATTTCAAAATAATGTTAATTTTCTGAAGGTCACAGTGGCCATTTATGTTCTCATATCCCAATCCCTTTGAGAAGGAAGAGATACAAATAGACCCTTCTGAACTGTTGGTCGTCCTTTTATTGCATTTAACCTCATAATTTTATATGTTGGGAATAGTTCAAAGATGAAGAGGGCGTTTTAGAGTTTGTGACAAGTAATGAGAAAAATCTGGATACAACATATTTGAAATATTTTTTGTGACAGTATATTCTGTGACAGTACTGTTTTTGATGATTTAAATTTTTTTTTCAATTCAATGTGTTCAACAATTATTTTGCTTTTAAAAATAAATTTATATAACAAAAAATATCAATTTTTTCTAAAATGCTGTTTTTGTTTTGCTCTTCTATATTGATATTTCTTTCATATAAAATACGAATCAAGCATCACTGACTGTGTTTAGTGTGCGAGTGGGTGACCACTTGAATCAGTTTGCGTAGGGAGAGAGAGTGTGCGGTATTGGGTATATAACAGTTTGACGAGCGTGTGCCTCGTCAAACTGTTCTATCGTAAAGTTCTCAAATTCGCGTACAGGTCGTCAGGCTACTCTCCACAGAGGATCGAAATTGTGATGGCATGTCAATGGATCATCCTCAGAGGTGCTTATTTATGGTATAAACCTTTGTAAAGTTGAATGGTAGATATCACAATATAAAAAATGACAGTACGAAAATATATCCAGGGTGATAGTGGGATTTGAGCCCGCTACCCCAATGCTTCGCACAGAGTTTATCGTGGATGCCGCTCGGCCAGAGAAGCCCCACAAATTCGCTACTGCTTTTTCCATTCGCTACTTTTTAATTTTAAGGTTTGGCAATACTGTCTCGAAAATTAAATAGGCGCGCAAACCAACTGCATGTGGGAAATTTTGTCTATTTAAATCTTTTAAATTTATTAAATTCTTAATTTCTTATCTATTTAAATATTTTTTTGACTCTTTAAGCTTTTTAAATGTTCGCCTGCGTGAATTATCACGATCAGCCTGGGAAAACGTATTACGTTCCAATTAATTTTGTTAAACACTTAGTTCCCCAATCAACAAAAGATTTTGAAAAGGCGAAAACATACCGCGTATTTTGGTGTCCCGATCTCCAAGTGAATCAAGGGGAAGTGGAAAAACTGAAAGACATGATCGTGCCACTTAAAGATTCATGGGACAGACTGAAGGGAACCTCATACTACAGTGCTTATGTGTTGCGCCTAGGAGGTGAGTTAGTCTTTTCTTATTATTAAATTGTTAATGAATTGACTCGAAATCAAATAATGAGAATTCCGAGATATTTTTTCTAATGCAAATTTATTTTCTACGCCCATTTTTATTTTTTTTATAATTAAATTAGCATTATGCCAATAGCCTTCTTAAATAATAATGATACATAATTAATTTAAAATTTATTATTGATGAATTGAAATTTATCTAACTTCTACTGTAGTATAAGTTTCTATTTTCCACCTATAATTCGATTAATGTTTTTTTCTACATTTATTCTAATTGAAATCAAAACATTAAAAAATCATTTCTAATTAAATATTCAAATATTTTTATATAAGTCCATCATGTGCCTAAGAATGTGGTTAGTTTCAAAATAAATTGTTACTCCAAATTTTAGGTCATACATTATTTACATCTTAATTAGATAGTCATTTTAATGAAATTTGTAAGCAATAAAAAATTTTATCATTGTGCAGGAGCAAGAGGTGTAATGAATAATTGAACTTGCTAACTTGTCATTTTAAGAAATGCTAAATGATCTATTCCTGTTTAAATTTTTAATATTTTTTTTAAGCTACTCTTGAAGACTTGATGAGCAGTGTCACTCAGAAAAGGCCATCGATCCCTCCTAGACCTTTTCAAGCAACCAACAAAAATGGCTCTTCATCCTCAACTGAAGAAGAAAAGGAAAAAAAAGAAAAATAAAGGGAACAAAACCCATGTTAATATTTCCTCATGTTCATATCTCTAATTGGTTTTCTATTAGTTCCATGAAGGAATGTCAACTATCAGCTGTTTTCAAATTCTAATTTCGATCTAACAAATATTTTTTTAAAATAATTTATGTAACCCATGTATTTATAATAAGTGTAGCCATCTGTATGTAAAAAAACAAAATTATAGAGTTAATATAGTAGTAACTAAGTTACTATTGATACTACTCTCTACTAGTAGCTAAACCTATATGTGCTGTTACTAATACTATTAGGCTATGATTCAATAGTGTTAAGGAAAATATAATTTTAACCTTTTAATTTTTCTTTCCAACTACACAACAGTTTCAAAACATTTACAATCATTTTATAAATTGCAGGAAAATAAAGATTTTTCCAAACAGAGGATGAACACATTGCTGGCTAAAGCAACGAAAGAATTGTTTTTGCAGCCAGAAAACTCTGATTCTGATTTTAACTTTAGCTTTATTCACATTTCTGTTTGGTGCTAAATTTCATTCAAAATTTATGTCATCAGCATTGGTAACAATGGCTGCATTCTCCCCGACATTTTCTAAATTTTTTGCAACCATTGAAATTTTACAACACGGGTACGGATTATGGATGTTTGAAAAAATCAAAGTTTTATATGTTTTCTCAAATTTTGTTGACACATTACCTCAGTGGTGATTTAAAATAGACTAATTGCTACTAAAATTGTTTTCAATTAATCATAGTGACATTTTTCACTTAAAAATGGTGCAAAAATTATTAGTTTTAGAAAAATTGACTTATATTTTGTAAAACTGTAATTAATATTATAGTTGAATGTTACGTTAAATGCTTCTTAATCATTAGAAAATTTTGAAAAATGCTTTCCCCTTATTTCATAAAATTTTTTAATTATATTATATGCAATATTTTTAGTATTAGAGTGTAATTTTTTAATAGGTACTTTGGACAAGGATATGTTCATCCAGCAGGAGCTTATACGTGAATTAAAAGCTGAATGTTGTCGACTGAGAAAAGAGAGGGATGAAGCCAAAGCAGTGGCAAGTTCATCTAAAGAAAGAATTATAGAACTTGAATTAGAGTGCAAAAGTCTTCGAGCAGCAAGAGAGACAGTTTCTGATGAAAACCCACCAGAGCTCGAAGAAGTGAAAGAGCTTCGACGATTGAATCGAAGCTTACAGCTTCAAGTTCTGGACAAAATAGTTCAAGGTAAATTTAATGCTTTCATAACAGACTATCTATAATTTATGTTTATTATTTTTAAAAGAATTTTGAATGTCAAAATTCAAACAATGTTTGTATACCAGCAGGGTGCAATTTTAGCAAGAAGCTTTCGTTTGAGCGATGATATCATTGTCATCCCACTGACCACACACTGTTACTGCATCATTGTTACTGCAACTTTTTTTTTCTTCGAGATATCAAAAAATTTGTGAAATCGAGGTTTAACTGTAATTTGAAAAAGTTGTATGTTTTTGTGAACCATTTCTGTAATATGGATCTAAAAAAGCTTTGGAAAAAAATTGTTTATTTATTGCTTAAAAAGTTTTCTTTCTAAAAGATATTTAATTTTTATTTTACTTCTAATATACTAATTTAAACTTAAAATGAGAAAAAAACAGTAACATGACAGACTTTAAACATTTTAAAAATGTTTCTTCTGCTTGCAAAATTTTTATGGAAACTTTGTTGTAAATACTGGTTTGAAGCAGTGGTTTTTATGCCACTTTTTTTTTTTTTTTTTTTTAAAGAGGCATTGTGTAAAAAATATCAGGCATTTTTTCCTTATTGTTTATTAATATTCGTATCTATCACTGATGCTTTTTTTTAAATTTAATTATAGATTCAAACTAAAGACTAAAACTATAATCTGAAAAGCTCACTATTAAAACTATAATCTTAAAGGATTTATTTAAAACTTCATGTGTTTATTATATTAACAAATTGCAAAAGCTGAAAGACAAATTATGTATGCATCTATAATTAGGTCTCTTTCCTGGTAGGAGAATTTAGTAGTTAAAAAAGATTACCTAAATGATTAATATAATGTGTAGACAAAAGTAAACAATAAATAAAAAATGAATTAAATTACAAAATAAAGTACAAATTTTTTGCATGAAGCATATAATTATCAAAGTACAATTATTGAAGTTTTGTATTTTATTTTTGGATTTTAATGCAAAATAATTATTCTTTGCTAAGTTTTTTGAAATTTCAACATAAAAATACTCCGATTATCGTAAAATAATACTTGTTAAAAAAAATTTTTTTTCATAACAAATTTGTTGTTGAAGTGACATTTGACTATTATTTGAGCATCGTTTGTGGATGACTTGGTGACATATTGCTGCTAGTCTTCCGGATGTGTTGAATCCTATATATAACTATATCATACTAGAATTAAATAGATATTTAGTTATGTGGGAATATTTTTATTCTGTCTTTTGAATTTCAACGTTCTTTATAATGTTGTACAATCTTAAATAAATCTAAATTAAATAATTAAAAGAAAAAAAAACTTATTATTTTTTTTAAATCATAAAGAAGTAATAAATCAGTAAAGAACAGTAACTTTTATTTTATTCTCTAAAAAAGGTTTTTTAGAAATTTAATGTATTGTGTTTTATTCAGCTCCTTTTCCGATAGGAAGCATTTGTATTTGCTTTCTATAGAAAATTACTAGTTTTATGTTTATGCTTTGAATGATGCAATAAATACAAGCCCATTTTTCTTTCAGGAAATTTGCCACAGAAACAGAATTGCCAGAGGTACAATTTTGTATATCTTTCATTTATTATCAACTTTCATGCATGTTTTTTTTTTTTAAAAAAGATGATTGCTAATTTTTAAAATAAAACAGTAGTTTCCAATGCTGTTTCTTATAATTTTAGGATTTTATGAACTTGATGGAAATATAAGTGTGTTGGTCAAGACAGTTAAAGCCAATAAGCATTTAAAGTAGTTTTTAATAATTTTTTAGGTTTTCTAAAAATTTTTGTGCCTGGAAAATATGAAAAATCTGGAAAAAGGCAGAGAATTTGATTAAGGGAGCATCAAATCTATAATATTTGCACTAAGTTTCCCATAGAATGCAGGGGTCTGACCAGGCCAAATTTACTACCATTTAGCGGTACCTTCACAAATTCAGCTTTAGGAAAAACGACAGTTTCACAGAATACTATTTCTAACATTTTATATTTGTATCCCAGAAGAAATGATAAATCCATATTGTTACCCTATTTTTGTGTAGATTTTTTAAATATAATTTTTAATTTTCACAAATTATGTCTAAATATTCACGAAATATGTACCTATCAAAAAAACCTAGACAGTACCCTGGAATGCATTTTAAAACCATGCCGTTTCACAGAACTGTGGCCTTGGTTTTGTGACCTATACAATGTAATGCATACATTTCTATTATTAATTTTTGTGATTCACCGTACATTTTGACCATGGAACTGTCGGCATATACTGCGATATTAGACAGGAATTTTTTAAAAATATGTTGAGAAAAATCTGGGAATTTTGTATGTCTATTTAAGTAGTAACTATGTTATTCGAATAAGTATTCAATAGTGTATTTAACATTTTAAAATTAGAATTTTTGAGAAAGCCTTTTTTTAATAAATATAATATAACAAGATTTTTAAATGTGTAAAATTGAATTTTAGGATGTTGACTTGGGCAATAAGGTAGTCCTGAAAAGAGAAATTTATAATGCAGTTAGAGGTGAAAGTAATATAAGTAGATTTACGAAGAGCCTTGGTGTGGCCATCTGGGGGACGGCTACACTAAAAGAACGGTTCATCAAAGGACAAGAATGTCGTAACCCAAGGGGCTGCAAAAGAAAAGTGGATGGAGAGGCAAGCATGCCTATTCAAAAAGCTGCCAAACCACCACTTACACCAGAAAAATTGGCAGTAATTGATGGTGAGTTTTTATATTTGTCTGTTTTTCCATGTAAAGTAGTTGTATTTACGATTCATGCATTCTATTGTTTAAATGCATATGTTAAATGTTTAATTCTTTTTTTTCATTTTGAATTTTTTTGTCAATTACCGATTTAAACCTTCTTTGTTTATTTTCCATTGCAAAAGAAATCCAGCAAAGACTTTTGTTTCAAAGAAGATGTTCTTTTTTGAGCAGCCTTTATTCTTTTTAACTAAATCAACTGAACTGAATCAGCATCAGTTTGATGTTCCAGACCAGGGGTGGCGAACCTTTATACACCAACGTGCCAATTTTTCTAAAAAATTGTTTAATGAGGTCACAGACGTGCCATCAAATAATTTTGACTTCGTGATTATTGGGAAAATAAAAATACTAAATACTATCAACTCAAAGCTCTTTATTTACATTTTAAAAAGTACATTTTGCCACGTCTTAAAACAACTTAAAGTAGCATCAGTGTGACTTCTGTTGTTGCTGATTGGATGACAAATAACTTATATTAGGTTGCAAGATGTTAGTTTAAGCAGGACTGCTATTTTTTTTTGCTTGTTTATTATGGTTATTAGTTGCTTTTTTAGCATTAATTGTTAAATTTTTTATTAATAATTTATTACTATTTCGTTTGTTTTTTGGGAATTTTAATTTAATTGTTACATATGCTTCATAGTGTAATGACAAATGTGATCGGTGGCGTGCCCAAAATATTGCGTGTCGTGCCATAGGTTCGCCATCCCTGTTCTAGACTGTCAAAATGAAGCTTGCATTCTTGGAAAATAATTTTAAGTTGAAGAGGGCTAAAAGGGTATGTAAGTTTAACTGTATGTATGGCTACTATAAGAAAACTGCTCTAAAAGGTTGTAAATTAAATATGGTCATTAAATGTAGTGGATTTTATTTATAACTTGAAAAAAAAATGGAAAAAAACGAATTCGGACATAGTTTGGATAATCGGCGCTCTACTGTATATACAATAAAACCTCGGTACAACAATATTTTGGAGACCAAATAAATATATTGTTGTAGAGGGATATATTATTATATCGAGGCCCTACATGCTTTGGAGACGCAATACGATGTTATGTATGTATTAACTATAAATCTATTTATATACTATATAAAAATTTAATTTGCATGGTGGTAATTATGATTGAATATGAAATCAGATAGAAATGTTACATTTGTGACTTTTTAAGAGATAAGGGAGACAATTCTATGGGTGGAAGGTCTTGGGGTGGTCTATGTACATCGAGGATGGGGTATTGGAATCTGAATGCAAAAGCCATTTACTGTGGTGAAAAGAAATAAAATAAGTACATAATCAGCAGTGCGACTTCTCTTGTGAGAAAAAATGGCAAAATAGCAAGATTTTTTTTTATATAATTTGAAAACCAATAATAAATTAAGAAAATGTTGAAATCTGAAGAAAAAAAATCGTTTTACAGAGTTTATTGCTTCAGAGAATATCGCAATATTGAGAGGTGGATAACATTAACTCATATGCAAGTTCGTCGTCGGGAATCGTCGAAATTTTATTGTAATAGAAGGAGTTATTGTAGTAGTGAGAGTTCACTGTATATGTGTATATTACATATGTGTGTGCATTCATGTATACGTGCACACACACACTTATATGTATATAGCTTTGTAGTATTTAATACATTTACCAGTGTAAAATGTTTTAAAAAAATGAATGATTGGTTGACGTATACATAATTTAAAAATAAATTTTAAGCTCTAATACTAATTTTGTTTCATTTTTCTTACAGCTCAAATGAGAGTATATATGGAGGCAAAATCAATGAGCCTGAATGAAATTCAGGAGAATCTGAAGAAGAGGAACAGATTTCTTACTGAAAAAATTTGTGACTTAAATAAACCTAAACGTGTTTAAAACCTTTTATAAATCTTGTCAATAAATTATTTTGAATATTCTTCTTGTTGAATTATTGCAAAAACTATTTTGTTTTGTAAATTGAATCAATACTTACATTTAAAATGTAGGTATTAAATCAACATTGAAATAATTACTTATTAAACTAACAAACTGCTGTTAAGGTATGTAAATTGAATAGATTAATTTATTTATATGAGGCTAACTGATATTTTAAAAAAATCTAAAGGTCCTTAATATATGAAATTACTGTCTTCTTTAAAATAGTACAATAGTAAACAAACAAAATAACTTCCTTTCAGTGTGTGCAAGCCTTTATCCAGCTAACTATAATGGGAATGCTATGTTGGTCCAAAATAAAAAACGATTGCACTATGATGGAAATGATATGTTGGCCCATTATAAAATCCATCATGACGTGATGGGAATGCTATGTTCGCCCATTATAAAAATCCATCTTGACATGATGGGAATGCTATTGTGGCCCATTATAAAAATCCATCTTGCCATGATGGGAACGCTATGTTTGCCCTTTATAAAAATCCATTGCCAAAAATCCATTTGCCCTTTATAAATTGCTATTGTGACCCATTATAAAATTCCATCATGACGTGATGGGAATACTATGTTCGCCCATTATGAAAATCCATCATGACATGATGGGAATGCTATGTTGGCCCATTATAAAAAACCATCATGACATGATGGGAATGCTATGTTGGCCCAACTTGAAAAGGTGCCAATTCCTACCTTGGGATGATGGGAAGACTTGATGGTCCCATCAAGCTGTATGATGGTTTTTGATGGGAATTCAAGTTGGTAACCATCATATTTATGTTGGTCCATCAATGGAAAACCATCTTGATTTTTTGTCTTGGGCAGTTTTGTTTATTACATAGGGGCCTCGCAAGAAATATTTAAAAATGTAATTAAATGATATCGTTAAACCAATGCATGATTAAAATATGGAGGTAAGACTAATACTTGAAACCCGAAGTCTGGTAATAAATACAGAGTAAATATTTAGAACAAGCTATAAAAGTAAATAAACATTACCATATATTTTTTCCATAATTTTTCATACTTGTAGCTACAGTCAACAATATTCAGGATGAACAGAAACACTACGCAATTCACTAAAATTCCATTCATATTTTTTAAGTTAAGAGAATCGAATTGGTTCAAAAATAAGAGCCGGCATCGAAATTTATTCCTGCACGTAATTGTCTTATTTATGCATTCATTGTACATAGCATCTAATATTTAACTGCAAACTACACTTGGATGCCAAATTTTCTGAATAACAATATTATTACGATTGTTACGAGTAAATAAAGGATACTTTCGTAATCGAATGAATTCTTTCGAAATCAATTATAGTTAAAAAAAAATTATGTCGAATTCGGTCTAAAAAACTTATTTGCTCTCTATTGTTTTAATTTATATAAACATCATACATCAATGTATTTAAAATGGAAATTGAGTACGTAACTCTACAGCTAAATCTGTAAGCTAAAACAAGTTACCAAGTGATATTTTTCATATGCTGTGTACACATCTAATTGATTATTTTGTTTTTTAGAGTGCTTCTAGCTGGTTATCAACGTTTTTTTTACAACAANAAAAAAAAAAAAAATCGGGCGCAATGCTTGGTTATCCGAGAGGCTAGGAAAAGGCTTCCGAAACGTCTGACGTTTTTCCTTCGGCAGAATTTCCAAGGTTGCCTACGCTTTTTGTAAAATTTTATTCCAATGGTAGCTAAGTTTCTGTTTTAATGTATTATTTTTTATTCAGTTATTTTCCACACCACTACACAGAGATGCCAACTGCTCTAAATTATTTAAAGGGTGGTAGAGAACTACACACTAAATTTTGCAGATTTTCGGTGAATTTTGAGAAGTTCTTAAAAGGCACTACATGATTTTACTGTAGCAAAGTGGCGTATCAGAAAAGCCCTCGAGTTATTTAAAAGTAGTGGTGAGTAAAAACCTTATAAATCGAATTTTAAAGTGAAGAATCATACTTTAAAAAGCTACCACTCAAAAATATTTATTCGCTGACCGGAACAAGTTGGCATCTCTGACTGCATATACATTACCGGTCAAAAGTTTGCGAAAATTTTGAAATCTACAAAGAAAAGGTCTAAATTCAAATGTTCATAGAACTGCGAAAAATCATTCAAATTGCTTGAAAATTTGATATGTTCTAAAGTGAACCCTCTACAGTTAGCTACATATGATCAAATTGCAATATACTTTGTTTTTTGCGAACTGCATCCAGCTTTTCATCATGGGCTGTTTTTATGGTGAAAAAATTTGTTAAGTTTGAACACTAGCCAAACTTGCACAAAAACTTTTTTTGTACTTTCTGTTAATGGAAAATAGTTATTTGAACCGTTCTATGTAAGTTCTCAAAATTTCAGATCGATTTGATTTTTTTTGACGAAGTTATAGAATTTTGACAAACATGTATACTTTTCTCGATTTTTTAACATTCCACATATGCAGTCTTTTGTTCTTTACATCTTCTACCAAAGAGCTTTATAATTTTAATATTTTCCATATTTTCAAATAATTAATACTTATTATAAAACAAATATTCTTCTTCATTATTGTAATTATAGTTAATACAAAGAATTTATTATGAATATAATTAAAACACTATCTCATAGATGTCACATCAAAAATTTGTTTGTTCTTAGCAAACAAAACGATATTTATTGTTAATTTGAAGAATGTACTATAAAATTTCTGTTAGACAAATAAAGGTATAAGGTTCAATTTTCGTTACTCGTCGAAGATCTTATGCATTCAACTTGTGTCGGTGAGGGATCGGCCAGTTTTCATTTGCTGTTGGTCGTTATCTGCATTTAAGCTTTTGTTGAAGCAGATTATTTCTAGTTATTCTTTCCTTTCGTTTGTCACTCTGTATGCGACAATTTGCTTACCAATGTTTTTAAATAAACTTATTTCTTCGGAAACTTCGTTTTTATTTTGTTGACTAACACATATGATATTCTGCGACAATCTCGGATGTCGATTTCATTGACTAATTTTTTTACTATTAAATTATTTTATTTGAAGCAACGTTATAAATATGTCTCCTAGAAAAGAAATATCAACTGAAAAACGTGCAGCTATAGTATCTTTAAGGCGGCATAATACCTCATTTATGGTCAAAAAATCTTTAAAAAATTTTATTGCATTTTCTGAAAGATTGAACGTTTTTAATTAGGCCGTTTTTTAGTTCTTGACAGATGTCAAAGGGGCCGTGGCACAATGCAAACAAACTACGACGCTTTAGTTTTCTCCAGCGAAAGCATTTATTAATTTTGAATCATAGTAGAAGTAAGCTATAAGAAATATTAAAGAATAACGATAAATATTTAGTAGAAGAAAGCTATAAGCAGATGATTTATTCTGAAGTATGGCTTGCAGATTTATTTACATTTCCGATTGATGTTTTCATTTTTACGAGCAAGCAATTGCATTCATAGCCTTAGTTTCAATAGTTATTTTTAAAGTTTTATTATTATTAAATATTACGTTGCTTAGTTTTTCTTGTTGATTTTTAGTTTTGTTTTGTTGAATCATTTTTATTTCGAACTAAGAATGCACGTCGAAAGCGAACATGTCTTTCGCATCAACACAGTGCTTTGAAATGATGGAATACGTCAAATAATGTTGATGAAAATAACTGTTCTACTCCAGAGTATGCAACTATATGATTGACAAATATGAGGATTTTTCAAACTGTCCTCAGTATTTGTTTATTGATGTTTGTCAGTTAGCTACTCTCTTTGACAGATTTTTGTGTGACATTTGCTGCAAATCTTCTTTGAGGCTCGTTTTAGGAAAACAAAATGGATTTTCAAAGGAAATTAAATTAATATGTGACACTTGTGACATTTGGAACAAAATAAATACATCAAAGAAAATAGCTGACAATGCGCAAGTGCAACATGATAGTATGTGCAATGGAAATTTTTATGATGTGAATGTTAGATTTGTGAGAGGAATTTTGAGTCTTGGCCTGGGATACTCGGCCTTTAAGACAGTTTCTAATTTCACGAACAATATGCTGCAAAATATTCACAATGAAGTGCAGAAAGAATATGGACATCAGGATAATGAAATTACCAATATTGGTGTATCGTATGATGGAGCTGGCTCACAAGAGGTCATTCTTCTCAAATTGGAATTGGGTGTATTATTGACCTTTTGACAGGGTATGTGCTTGATTATGAAATCATGTCAAAAAAATTTGCACAGTGTGAGAATTCAAAGTACATGTTAGGGGAGAATTCTGATGACTTTCATATTTGGTTTCAAGGGCATAAAGATATGTGCAGTATCAATCACATTGGATCATCTGGCTCGATGGAAGTAGCAGCTTTGAAACTTTCTGAAGAAAAGGACTTTAGATATGCGACAGTGCTTTCAGACGGTGATTCTAAAGCATTCAATGAACTGGTAAAGAATAAAATATATGGTGACGATTATAAAATTGAAAAAGAAGAATGCATCAATCATGTTAGTAAAAAATTAGGAACAGCCTTACGAAATGTTGTAAGAGAATGGCGCTCGAAGGGAATAACACTTGGGGGTAAAAAACATAGCAGTTTAAAGAGAAGCCACTATTAAAAAACTCACAAAGTATTACAGAAATGCTATTATAAGAAATAAAAGGAATTTAACCGCGATGAAAGCTGCAATATATGCCACTCTTTTCCACAATTCATCAACGGACAAGAAACCTCGGCATCACAACTGCCCGGTAGGGGAAAATTCCTGGTGTTTCTATCAAGCTGCACTTGCAAAAGGTAAAACACCAGGACCCCATGAAAAACATATGAAAACGCTAGTCAGTGAGATTCATTTAGAAAAAATCATTCCCATATGCCAACGTTTAGCATCTGATGTTCAATACAAAACCAGAACGAAACTCTGCACAGTATGATATGGAACAAATGTTCTATAGAAAATTCTGCTTCAATTTAGCGTGTTACAATTGCTGTCTGTGAAACAATTGGAG